AAAAGAAAGCTCTAGGGATTTCTACACAGGAGAAGGGAAATACAAGAATGTGGAAGGGAACATATCAGAAAGTGAGATATGGCAGAAGTGTGTCAAGTTTCAGAATCAGAACAAAGATTCAATATGCTTTCCCCTTGCCAGCCTAAGCAATCCTTCCCAGTTTTAGTTACTGGTTAAAACACTGGATACATTGAACACCTTCAGTGTGCTATATATCTATTTTTTTTAGCTTATCATTTCCTTTCTTGTATTCTGTTGCTGTAATAAAATGTCATGACCAAAGTAACTCACAGAAAAAAAAGTTTATTTAAGCATATGGTTCCAGGGAGATGAGTCTATCGTGGCAGGGAAGCATGGCAGGAAGGGGCAGGCATTTGAAACCTTAAAGCTGATCCCCCAGTGACACACTTCCTCCAACAAGGCCACACCTCCTAATAGTGCTACTCCCTACAAGCCAATGTGGGCCACTTTTATTCAAATCAACACACACACACAGACACGCACACACACACACATACTCCACCAATAATATACCCATGGTATTCTAATTTCATCTCTATTACTTTGATTAAAACACTCTACCATAAAGCAACTTGGGGAGAAATGAGTTAATTTTTTTTTACTTCCATATCATAATCTATCATTGAGGAAAGTCAGGGTAGGAACTCAAGTTGGAAGCCTAGAATCAAGAACCATAGAAGAATGTCACTGGCAGGTTCACTCTCTGGATTGCTCATGAATAGCTAGCTTCTTATATAACCCAGGACACCACCTTGCCTAGGATTGGGACTGCCAATAGTCCCTTTGCAGAAAGTTCCCACAGGCCCAGCTGATTGAAGCAATTCCTCAGGTAAAGCTCTCTGTCATATAACTCTAAGCTATGTCATGTTGACAACTAAAGCTAAACAGGACACATATTAGCAGTGGAGAGATTAAATTGCCAAAGTAGTTTGTTTATGAGGATGGCCCCTATAGGCTCATATATTTGAATATTTTGTCCCCAGTCAGCAAAACTGTTTGGGCAGGACTAGGTGGTGTGACTTTGTTGGAGGAGGTGTGTCACAGTGAAGGAGTCTTTGAGGTTTCAAAAGACTCAGACTAAGTTGACTCTGCTTCCAACTGGAGGATCAATATATGAGCTCTCAGCTGTTGCTGCCCCCCCCCCAGCTTTCATCTCTAAAACTGAAACTGTAAGCACCAAATTAAAGTTTCTTTTATAAGCTGCCTTACTCATGGTGTTTTTATCATAGCAATGGAAAAGCAACTAAGATAGTAATGAAAGATTCACAGAAATTATGTATTATCAGTAGCAATTGCATTTGGAATTAAGGTTTTGTGGATAATGAGGAGAAAATTAAAACATATTAGCCAGATAATCCTTAAAATCAGCAGATATGAGGAGAGGATGTTTCTACATGTCCAGGGCCAGCCAGTTTGAAAAGCGAATATATGTAAGTGTAAGCATAATTGGTAATCATACAAGACTATGGTTAGTGTTGTAAAATGAAAACCAAATGAACGGAATCAAAAGTAGCAAACAATGCAAAAATAAAATGCTTCATCCAGTAGTATTTTCAAATTGTTAAACAATGTTTGACATTAGAGAAGTTAGTTTATTATATACAATAAACACAACTTTAATTTTATATGGTTTGCACATCTGGAGCCATTCCTTGCAGTCAATCCTAAAAAAATTTATAGAAAGAGTTAAATAAAAATTACTGTGTGAGTCGGGGGTGGGGTGGGAGGTGGGGGATGGGGAGGCATATAGTTTTAATCCCAAACTCAGGAAGGAAATGTGGGCAAATCTCAAGACATCCTGATCCACACAGGAGGTTCCAGGATTACAGAGTGAAACCTTGACTCAAGAGAGGAAAAAAAAAAGCTAAATTTATGTATATTGTAATATCCCCCAAAGACCTTTCTGCTCTATGGTCTATTGGCCCCCAATATATTTCCTCTCTTTCATGCTCAGTGGGTATGTCTTTTACCTCTTGTTTATCCTGGTCATCTTTATCTCCTCTTGCTTACGCTGAGTGAACATCTTGCATTCTGAATTTGATGAAATCAGTTCTGAAAAGCCAGCCTCCACTTTCTCAGAATGTAAGACACTCTCTTAAAAAAAAATAGTTAAAAATAAGTATAATCATTTCAGCTCTTTATTACTTAGTGTGTGTTGCAGGGGCACACACATGGAAGTTGCAGGACAACTTGTGGGAGTCAGTTATCTCTTCCACCATATAGGTCATCACACTGGACTACCTCACTGGCCCCAAAGCAATGCCTTTTAGATATGTTTCTTCTTGGATACACCCTCTTCTCAACACTTTCTCCTGGTCATCTTCCCATTGTCCCTCCATTCCTTCCCAGTGCCCTTTCAAGTGCCTCAGTTCACTTCCCTTCACTGCCATATGAAGTTCCCATGATTCAGCTTTGAACTTTTCCATCTCTACTCAATTACTCTCAGACTCCATTTGTCCTTGGGTCTTTGCTGACCAGCTGTAGTCTAGTTACCAAATCAGAGCCTCTAATCACAACACTCTGCAAATCGCAGAAGGATATATGCAGTGTCAAGTGTTAACCTCTGAACCTTCCATTTTCTTGTGATGAAGACACATTTCTTTTGCCTTCAATGTTAGCATATGATGTAATTAAAACTGATTATCTGAGCCTAGAGTGGTGATGTATATCTCTAAACAGCACCAAGGAGGCCAGCCTGCATCACACAGGGAGACTGTTTCAAAACTATTAATAATTTTATTTTTCCTAAAGGAAATTTTCCAAGGGAAAAAACAAACAAACAAAGTCCCAAACTGTTTAAACAGTGTTATAGTTTATTCTGAAAGGTATCATGATCAGGTGTTACTTATAACTTGAATAAACTGAACCAACATACTTCATTTGAAAACACAAAACCAGCCTTGACAATGACTTAAGACTAAACACGTGAAAAGTCTAAAAGTAAAACTTTTCAGTAATAATAGTAATTAAAAATATGAAGGTAAATATTTTTGTTACTAGTAATATGTAAAGGTGAACATGATATATGTGCTAAAAACTAAGATATAATAAATTAAAATTATAATAAACATATTGGAATTAATAATAAAGCATATGAGTAAATAGTGCTGCCAAGTGGGCTGATGTCCCTAGGTAGCTGCTCTAACACAAAGCTGTTTAACATGACCACCAAATGTTGTGAAAAAATGGATTCATTTCATGTTGAAAGCAGAAAAAACAGTCTTTTAAAATACTTACATTTTGGAAGATGAAAAAGATCTGTCTCTAATAACCATTAAAGTTCATGTCTAGTTTCTCATTTATAATAATGACAGATGTTGTGACTTTTGCTCTTATACCTTCTTAGGCATGGTGATTTTGTTTTTTCTTTTCAAGGTAGGAAGTAATCCCTTGGATGTCCCTGATCACAGCTATCCCACACTTTGCAGCAAGTCAGGGAATACTCACCCCAACTCCCAGAATGTCCCTTGGCTGGTAAGAATTTCTCAACAAAGCTCTTGTATCAAACAGGTTGGGTTGCTGCTAGAGAACCTTGGGCAAACAATGTTGGTCTACTATCCTCAATAACATGTTGTAAATAACCTTTCTATATACCAATTTTGGAAAACCTTGAATAAAAAAAAAACAAAAACAAAAAACAAAACAGAAAGATATAACAGGATAGATGCTATTTAGCAAAGAAAAAAAAACAGGAAGTAGAAGAGAATAACATTAAGTGCATAAATGCATTTTTAGTTTTCGTACCAGAAAATGCTAGAAAGATTTAAAGATTGCAATTAGATCAAGTTCAGAAAAAAAGAGAATTATGGCAAACTATACACTTATTGCAAATCAATTAAATTTTGCAATTAGAGAACTGTGTGTTAATAAAAAGACCCATAAAAGGGAAATCCAAAAGAAGGGAAATGCAAACCCAAGCATTGCTGGTAAAAATATTTTCGAAACTTTGACTTGAATATTCTACCAAATATTATCGTTATTCAATAGAAGATAAGGTTTTGTGTGTAAATTCCCAAAGCTTATTTGCATAAGACAGTGGAGGACGAGGTTTATACACTCAGGAGAAAACAGTGGGCAAAGTAAACTATAACATGCTTAATTATTGGGAAATTGTGTAACCATTTACTAAGTGTTTGGAAAACAAAACCGTGAATAAAGTCTTTATGATGGCATTATCTCTCCCTCCAAGAATTCTAAAGGTATCATTAGGACCAAACTTTAGTAACAAGTGACATGTGCTTTAAATGCTTAAAAAAACCACAACCAATATTTTAATTGAGGTTTTTTTTTTTTTTTGAATGTGATGTAAACTGTAAAACTGTTGTTAAAGAAAAAAAAAAAGACTTAAATGATGCAATGATTTCTTCTGCCAGGTTTCTTCTCAGTTTTAACAAAGGCTGCATTTCCTTGCTTGTTCTGGCACAATAGAATAAGCGTAAATCTTAGAAAGAATGCGCTCTTAGAAAGTGCTAAGAAAACCTCACTCAGCAAGCATGAAAGCAAGCATGCGCATTCCTGCAAGCCTGCAAGAAGGCCCCCTCTCGGCCTCCCGCGGGGGGGGGGGGGTGGAAGGGGGCAGCGTAACCCCACCCCCAGCCCGCCCGCGCCCTTCCCCCATCCGCCCGCCCCCTGGCCAGGCCAGCCGCGCAGGCGCAGTAGCTGTGGCAGCCGCTCCTAACCCGAGGGATCCTGGGATTCGGCCTTTCCGGAAGGACGGGCTAGGTGTCCGGTCTAAGCCGCCGTTCTAGCCTCAAACCGGAGTTCCAGGTCCTGCTCCGAGCCGAGCCGGTGGCGGAGGCGACGCTGCGGGGACCTTCGAGGGCGCGGCGGCGACTCGCTGAGGTGCGGAGCCAGGCCGGGCGGCAGCGGCGGCGCGCAGGCCGTGACGGCCCCTCCCCCGCCCCGAGAGCAGCCGCAGAGGACGACAGCGCGGGCCCGACGAGGTGAAGCGGTCGCTTGATCGCCTCGGGGCATGACTCACCGGCCTCACCGGCAGGTTTGAGGTCGGCCGCGCTGCGGGAACCTGCCGCGGGGCGGGCGTGGGTGTTGCCCGTGCGGGGCCGAGGCGACCGAGTGTCCTTGGTTCGGCGGCGCCGAGTTTCCTCCCAGCGTTCTCTTTGTAACGTCCGCGGCCTGCGGCTCGCTGCGAACGCAGGGCTTTCCCATGAAGGTGTCTCTCGGTAACGGCGAGATGGGCGTCTCTGCCCACCTGCAGCCTTGCAAGGCAGGAACTACGCGGTTCTTTACCAGCAATACCCACAGCTCTGTCGTATTGCAAGGCTTTGATCAGCTCAGACTAGAGGGGCTGCTTTGTGACGTGACTCTGGTCCCTGGTGATGGAGATGAAATCTTCCCGGTTCATAGAGCCATGATGGCGTCCGCCAGCGATTACTTCAAGGCCATGTTCACAGGGGGGATGAAAGAACAAGATTTAATGTGCATTAAACTTCACGGGGTGAACAAAGTTGGTCTGAAGAAAATCATTGATTTTATTTATACCGCAAAACTGTCTCTTAATATGGACAATCTCCAGGACACCCTTGAAGCTGCCAGCTTTCTACAGATCTTACCGGTTTTGGACTTTTGTAAAGTATTTCTTATATCGGGCGTCTCCTTAGATAACTGCGTTGAGGTTGGACGGATTGCCAACACCTACAATCTTATAGAAGTGGATAAATATGTAAATAATTTCATCCTGAAGAACTTTCCTGCATTGTTGAGTACTGGGGAGTTTCTAAAACTCCCCTTTGAACGGCTTGCCTTTGTGCTTTCCAGCAATAGTCTCAAGCACTGTTCCGAGCTTGAACTCTTCAAGGCAGCCTGCCGCTGGTTGAGGCTGGAAGACCCTCGGATGGACTATGCTGCAAAATTAATGAAGAATATTCGATTCCCACTGATGACACCGCAGGACCTCATCAACTACGTGCAGACAGTAGATTTCATGAGAACGGACAATACCTGTGTGAATTTACTTTTGGAAGCAAGCAATTACCAAATGATGCCGTATATGCAGCCAGTGATGCAGTCAGACAGAACTGCCATTCGATCTGATTCCACTCACTTGGTTACCTTAGGAGGAGTTTTGAGGCAACAGCTGGTTGTCAGTAAAGAATTACGGATGTACGATGAAAGGGCACAGGAGTGGAAGTCCTTAGCCCCCATGGATGCTCCCCGATACCAGCACGGCATTGCCGTTATTGGAAATTTCCTTTATGTAGTTGGTGGTCAGAGTAATTATGATACAAAAGGGAAAACTGCTGTTGATACAGTTTTCAGATTTGACCCTCGGTATAATAAGTGGATGCAGGTGGCATCATTAAATGAAAAGCGCACATTCTTTCACCTGAGTGCCCTCAAAGGACATTTGTATGCAGTTGGTGGGCGCAGTGCAGCTGGTGAACTGGCCACAGTAGAATGTTACAACCCGAGAATGAACGAATGGAGCTATGTTGCAAAAATGAGCGAGCCCCACTATGGCCATGCTGGAACAGTGTATGGGGGTTTGATGTACATTTCTGGAGGAATTACCCATGACACTTTCCAAAATGAGCTCATGTGTTTTGACCCAGATACAGACAAATGGACACAGAAGGCTCCTATGACTACAGTCCGAGGTCTGCATTGCATGTGTACAGTTGGAGACAAGCTGTATGTGATTGGTGGCAACCACTTCAGAGGAACGAGTGATTATGATGATGTCCTAAGCTGCGAATACTATTCACCAACTCTTGACCAATGGACTCCAATTGCTGCTATGCTGAGAGGTCAGAGTGATGTTGGAGTTGCTGTTTTTGAAAACAAAATCTATGTTGTTGGTGGATATTCTTGGAATAACCGTTGCATGGTAGAAATTGTCCAGAAGTACGACCCAGAAAAAGATGAGTGGCATAAAGTTTTTGATCTTCCAGAGTCACTTGGTGGCATTCGGGCTTGCACTCTCACAGTTTTTCCACCTGAAGAAAACCCTGGGTCACCTTCCAGAGAATCACCTCTTTCAGCACCCTCAGATCATTCTTAGATACAAGGTGTTAAGCCCCTTCAGTTGTCTCTTATTACTACACTTAATAGATTAAAAGGTAACTTAGGTGTTTTTGTTTTGCTTACTATGTTACTAATGGCTAATAAGTGCATTCTGAAAACTGTGTTAAATATATTTAGCTGTTTTAACAAGTGAAAGAGATACATGAAAAATTAGATGTCTTTTGTGGTGTTACATATGTGAAATTGTAGGTGATCATAGTAAATGTGTAATTGTCCATTATGCTACAAAATTGAAAGTTTTGATTTGACTAAAACATCAAATGGAGGTCCCCTGTTATAAACTAAAATAATAAAAGATTGCCAAGGTACAGCTACCTCCCTCTTGGATAGTTTTTGACAATTTGTTAGCTAGGCTATGTGATTACCCTTAGAATATATGAAGTTTCTTAGGTAGAAGAAATAGTAAAAATATTAACTAGAAGAAACAGTAAGTTAGGATTTGTTATCTTACTGGAGAAAAGAAAATTTTGGAGCATGTACACAAAACATACATAGGCTCGCACAAAAATTCATGTGTACATATAAGTTTTTAAAACTGATAGAAACGTCAGCGGTAGTGAAAATGAGCTAATGTTTTCTTTCAGAAAACAATTCCTTTTATTTCAATGAGAATTCAATACCAGAGTTAGTGTTTAAAGTGCTAAGCAAAATTTAGATAGTTAAGGGCTACAACAAATTAAATTGACAGCCAAATTTGTCATGTTTTATGGGATTGTTTCTTTAAATGAAACTTAGTTTTTCTGCATAATCTGTAATTATATGTATATAGATTATTTAGCAAAAGTCAGGTTTTGGAGAATTGTTTGTTACTAACTTCTTTTTCCTGTGAGATTTGGCAGTCAAGAAAGGCAAGGGAACATTCTGAACAAAGAATTTTTAAGTTCAGCTCCCACCTTTGTCACTTTGACATGCTTATTGTGTGATTTTTGAGTGATTTCTGTTGCAACTGTAGCTGATAACATACTGAGCAGTGTAGGCTGCCTCAAGGCTGTGATCTAAGCAAACAGATAGACCCTGTTCTGCATCAAATCAGAAGTACGCCTTTTCAGCCTTGACCCAAGGACAGAACCAACTTCAGATCACCTAACAAGCCAGCTGGTTTTTTTTTTTTTTTTTTTTTAAAGGCACTGTTGACTTTCAGTCTTCAGTACTGTGGGTTACTTTCTGGCTGTGAATTATATGGAAAAATCTTAAAGGGACAAATGGAATTATAGTGATCTTTGGTAATGAGTGATACTGAATATGTGCTTTCCTGGAAAAGTAGTTCACCTGAAGGAAAAGCAAAAACCATATGTGCACACATATATGTGTGTATGTGTAGCTGCCCTGTGAGAGTGGTAGAGTGTAAATCACAAGCAATGCCTTGGCAGCCCCTTAATGTAATTCAGACCAAGGAAAAGGCTTTGGCTTCTGGTATCTGAACTTTACTTACTACATTGACAGAAATTTTCATACTTTTTTGTTTTTTAATGACTCCTTTTTTTATTATTATTACTTAGACAGTTGAATACTTTTAGAAGTTAAGATAAACATTGCTACTAACTTTGTGTATTGAGTGAGCAAGAAGTGGCATCCCAAACTCTTTTTTTTTTTTTTTAAAGCAAGCGCGAATACTTTACTTGGGTATTTTGAATAGCTTCATTTTCTTTTTGGTTAAATATCCATGTCATTTTTCCTTGTAATACCTATTAGAATTGCTTTGTTTTTCATATAAAGTTACAGGATTTCTTTATATAATAAAATTATTTAACTGATATTTTCTTGTATTGCCTTTTTTCTTCCCCTCAGACTCTTTAGTTCTACAAATGGAAGCTGTTTAATTAATTTTTGAAACCAGAATTGTTGCTTCTACATTTTGATCTTTGTGGATAGCTTTCCTATGGTTTATTTGTAATCTAGAATTGATACATTACTTTTTCATATTGATTCTGACATAGTGAAATATTATACAGCCTGTTTTCTGTGTGTACTTTTCCTTCTTTTGCTAAAAAGCATTTCTGCCTTCTACTGAGTACATTTGATTGACATCCTCATTCTGTCATAAGTGTTTCTTAATCAGGTGAGCTGACTGCTCCATCTGCATCACCCTACAGTCTTACACATCCACCTGTCCTTTTTGCTTTCTAGTGTTGTTTCTCTAGTTGATAATCTACACATAGAGTCATACAAGTAACTGGCTGGTACTATGTTACTATAACTAATTAAACCCAGAAATCCTCTTAAAATGGAAATTATAAGTGATTTTGGAATGGTGATACTTTCATTATGAAAATTTTTCACTATGAAGAAATATATGAAAAAAAACATGTTCGTAAGTAATTTTTAAAAGATCCAACATATAAAGGGGATACAAGCATATATCATTACAAAACATTTTTAATGTTTGTTCTCTTTTTTCCTCAGTAAGTTTTCAATATTTACAAGCTTTTCTGATATAAAAATAACATTTGTCCTACAAAAAGAATAGGAAAATAAAGCATAAGATAAAAATTTTCCTTGATATTTTTTTTTTTTTTTTACATGCCAGCCATAAGCTCTGTGAATATTGGGTTCATCATACTTACATATGTAAAGACATTGGCAAACTGCCAATCCAAGTTTCAAAGACAAACCACTGTTAATATGATTTACTTAGTTTTTCATTTGTAGATATTAAGAAATAATACTCATGAAGTTTATTTCCAAGTGCATGTCATTGTGAAAAGCAGATTCTTTTGGAAGTAGTGTAGAAGCTAGAAGATTATGCATTTAAGACCAGTCTAGGCTGCATAGTAAAACCAAAAAGATAAATTGTGTTTTCCTGCAGATAAAGCCAGACTTGGATCTTTTCTTGCTTTCTAGTGTAGTTAGTACATTGATAATATTAAACTTTTTTCTGGCTTATAATTGAAAGTACTTTGTTCTCATGAAGAAAAAATACGTTGCTTCAGAACATTACTACATTTCACAAAGTATCTTTAGCTCAACTAAAGTCCACTGACTTTGGGTGGGGGTAAGTTTACATCTATAAAATCCATGTTTCCTCTTACCCATGGAGCTTGTTGAGTTTGCATCTTAGGGTTTGAGAGATGGCTCAGTACTTAGGATCCCTGGTTGCTCTTACAGAGGACTGGGGTTCAATTCCCAGCTTCCACATGATGGTAAGGAACTCCAATTCCAGGGGATATGATGGCTTCTGACGTCTGTGGGCACCAGATATGCACATGGTGTACATAAGTACATGAAGGCAAAACTCCCATAAATCTAAAAAATAGTGTATGTGTTATGGTTGTAAGTAGTTGTTCAAAAGTGGTTTGCACATAGAAGTATTCATTAAGTAGGTGGTAGTAGTGGCCAGTGGCATTTTATAGTTTGTGTACATGTGTGTACGTGGGTTCACATGTATATATGTGTATGCAGGTTCCTATGTATGTGTGTACTTGTGTGTATATGAGTTTATTGTGTGCTTGTGTGTATATGATTTCATATGTGTGTGTAGGTTTATGTGTGTACATGTGTGTGGAGGCTAGATGCTGAAGTAGGGTGTCTTCCACAATTGCCTCTCCACCTTATTTTGAGACAGGGTCTCTTATTGAACCTTCAGCTTATCAGTTCAGCTAAACTGATGGCCAGAAAGCAGTGAGAATCTTCTGTATCTACAGCACTTCAGTCACAACTCCTGATTTTCACGTAGGTACTGGGATCCAGATGGGTTCTTGTGGTTGTGAGGCAACTGAGCTGTCTCCCCAGCCCCAGCAGTTTAGACTTTTAATTTAGTTTAATCAATAATTCAAACAGGTTGTTTGAAAATGTATGCATACAGAATTTAACTTCATCAAAGTGCCAGTTTTTATATTTCTATACATTTGACTACTTACCTCCTCCCAAACTTCACCACTGTAAATAAACCAGATGTAAGTTTTAATCATTATACATAAAACTTTGCCCCATGTATAACCAGGTGATACATTCTGAGTAAATCTGGACAGTGCTAAATTTTTCTAGGTTCCCGGAAAGCATTTATAAGAGTGCTGAGTGCATTTATAGCAGAACTGTGCTCAGTGAATGTCTTAGGGTTTCTGTTGCTGTGATAAATACCATGATCAAAAGCAACTGTGGGGGCAGGTATCTTTCTCAGTCCAATAGTTTCACATTACAATCTCACTGAGAGAAGTTAGGGCAGTAATTGCAGATAGGAGTTTAAGCAGAAGCTGTTGGAAGAGTACTGCTTACTGGCTTGTTCCTATGGCTTGCTTAGCCTGCCTTCATATATATATATATATTAACACCCAGGACCTGGACCAAGCCAGGGCACTACCCCCAGTGAGCTGGGCCCTCCCACATATATCATTAATCAAAATAAATAAGTAAATAAAATAAAATGTCCCCCAGACTTACCCCCACGCCAATTGATGGAGACATTTTCTCAGTTGAGGTTCCTTCTTCCCAAATGATCCTAGCCTGTGTTAAGTTGACAAAGGTCAGCACAGTGAACATTCAAATGTTTCATTAATTTGCTCCTGGGTGTTTTGTTTGTTGTGTTTTGAGACAGACCCTCACTAGCCCTTGACAGGTCTGGAGACCACTATGTAGATCAAGACCTCAGAGACCCACCTGCTTCTGCCTCCCACACCTGACTGTTCCTGTATTTCTTCATTAATTGTCCTGTTTCCTGTAAAGAGTCTTTTCACCAGTGGCACTTTGGAGACTGCTAATTAACTTACAGTTTTTTGGTTTGTCATCTTGAAATGGTCAAACAGAAAAGAGAAATGTTAGTCTGAGAAAATTCTAAGTATGATTGGCTGGTAGGCAAGTCTGTGGGGCATTTTTTTTTTTTTTTTTTTTTTTTTGATTAGTTGGTGTGTGGTGGTTCAGCTCACGGTGGGCAGTACCACCTGGGCAGGTAGTCCTGGACTGTATGAAAAAACAAGCCAAGCAAGCCATAAAAGCAAGCCAGTAAGCATCGTTCCTCGTTTCTCGGTGGTTCTACTTTAGTTCCTGCCTCCAGGTTGCTGTCCTGACTTCCCTTCATGAAGGACTTTTAACCTGTAAGCTGAAATAAACCTTTTCCAGGTTGCTTTGGTCATGGTTTATCCTGGCAGCCGAAAGCAAACAGGAACAGTGCTCTTCAAGTTGTGATCATTTGTACCTATTTTACATTTTGGCCATTGGGAAGTAGTTTTAATGTCTTGTTTTTATACAACACTGACTGTGTTCCTTGGTCTTGGTCTTACACCTTTGTTGGTGATGGTTCTGAACTATGAAGCTGACATTTACTGCCTATCTCCTGTTCAAGTAGCTTTCCATTCTTGTTGGAAATGGAGAAGTTTTTCTTCTAAACTTACATTAAAAAACTATTAATATTCTCAGTAGTGGATACTTGTCATATTTTTCTCTGACTTGTATAAACATGCAGTTTTGATTTTTTTTTTTTTTTTTATTTCTTTGTAATAGGGGAATTGGCTTTTTGCTGATACTTCTAAACTTACATTAAAAATTAAACTATTAATATTCTTAGTAGTGGACACTCGTCCATATTTTTCTGAAATGTATAAACATGCAGTTTTGATTTTTTTTTAATTTCTTTGTAATAGGGGAATTGGCTTTTTGCTGATACTTTTGTATTTTTAAGCCCAGGCTGGCCTCAAACTCTATGTAGCTAGGAATAATCCTAGACACACAGTCTTTCTTCCACCTCCCAAGTGCTGGGGTTTCAGGCCTGTGCCACCAACTTGGCTCTTTTTATTGCTTTTAATTACTTCACTACACATTTTTGCCATTATATTGTAATATAACTGCCTCTGTTTTCTCTTTCTCCCTTCCTCCCTCCCTCCTCTCTCCTCCCCCCCCCCTTCCCCACCAGACAGGGTTTCTTTGTGTAACAGCTCTGGATGTCCTGGAACTTGATTTATAGAGTAAGCTGGCTTCAAACTCACAGAGAGTCACCTGCCTCTGTCTCCTGAGAGCTGGTATTAGGCATATGTTGTTACTGATAAAATATTCTACTACATTTTTTATTTGCATGAAATCTAATGTATGCTTTCAAATTATGTATTTTTTCTGTAACAACATGTATAATTTTTACTACCTGTACAATATTATTTACAGTAAGAATAAATTGTTTTCTTCAGTTCTAATGGCCTTTCAACTTTTCTTTGGTATATAGTTTTACTTTTAATTGGGTTTTTGTATGTTCTAAACTCTAATGACATTGGGAAGGAATAAGTGGTTTTGTTATACTGATTTTTGTGTACATTGATTTCATTGTTTCTTAATGTTTTAGGTAGACCCATTTGTGTTTGTACCTAAGGAATTTTATTGTTTGCATATTATAAACCTTTCTTTAACTAATTTTATTAATTAAAGATGAGTTAATTTTTCCAGAAGTATTGTGGTACTATCACGAGGAAATTTATCTTATAGGCAATTTTTAAATGTCTGACTAGGATTATAGAGCCCCTTTGTTAGAGGAAGATGGTCTTGGTCTCACCCGTAAAGTGCTTCTTTGGGAGTCTTAAAAATTATAGGATGTGTATCTTCACAAACACCTTATGCTGTAGTTTGGATAGTGAAAGACCTCCAGAGACTATAGCCCATGGTGCTTTGGGGAGGTGATGGATACTTCAAGAAGTAAAGCATAGAGGAAATTCCATAATCAGAATTGGACTCTTGAAGGGGGATAATTGACTTGGACTTTGCCTCTTTTCTCTCTTTGCTTTCCAGCTGCCAAATTGTGAGTGGACTGTGCTGTAGTGCTTTCCTGCCTGAATGACCTGTGTTGCCACAGGTCCAAAGTAGTGTGGCCAAGTGACTTTGGATAGACTTTGAAACCAGGAGTGAAAAGAACCCCTTCTCCACTCCCCTCCCCCACACACAAACCATTAAGTTGTTCCTTCTAGGTGTTTTGTCATTATAATGGAAGTCTAACACACTTCACAAATACTAAGGTGCTATTCTAATTTTTCAGATGCCAAATACTGAACAATTTAAAAAATCTCAATTGTTAGGCAGGAAGCATGCTTATATTGCTGAATACGTTAATTATTGGTGTAAACAATTTAGAAAGCAATTTGGCAGGATAGTAAAATGATCTTCCAGGGTTCATACTTTGTAAATAAATGTATTTCTTTAACCAACAAAAGAGAAAATAAGCTCCCAAATGATCACTTCACTCTGATACTACTGTCAATTATTTCTTAGTGTGACCCCATAAGGCCCTCCATATTTTCTAAACTAGATGTTGTTGAAGTAGTTCTTTTCAACTTGATGTTGATACTTAGTGTCTGTGTGCTTGAATATCTCACTGTTGTATTTAAATGACTGAATGATGGTGAAACCTGACTTGGTTTGTCTTGAAGTCAAGCTCACTGGGAAAGCTGTTCCCATTGGTCTATAGCTTATGGCTTTCATTACAAGTCTAGAAAAGGATCACATTCTCAGAACAAGTTCAAGCTTCCAGACCGATCTGTGATGTAGTCAGAAAGGACATAGGTGTGTAGCAGTTCCTCATGATTCATATGAGAGCAGGATCATCAGAAGAGATGTTCTCTGCTTTTTCTCCCCCCTCCCCAAGGTTTTGTCTAGAGCTTGTTTCTAAGGCATCTTCACAATTCAATAAACATTATCGTTTGTCTATTTGAGTCAGGATCTCACTGTGCAGCTCTAGCTGGTCTGGGAATTTGCTGTGTTACCAGACTGGCCTTGAACTCACAGAGCTGTCTACCTCAGTGTGGGATTAAAGGTGTGTGCCATCATGCCTGACCTAACAAGCACTCTCTTTTTGATACCTCTGTTTAGTTCTTGGTCTTAACTTGTGTCCATAACAATTTGCAACCCCATGGATATCTTCTAACTGGATTAATTAGCTCCTGTTATTAAATAGCTATTTTCTAATGGGTTCCCACCCTTCTTTCTGTACAATATATGGAACCTAACTTCCAGGCAGGTTTTGGAACTGGACAAGAAATATCTAATTTTACTTGTTACAGCAGTATGGTGTTTGAAACATTTCTATAGTCCCAATAACCTTGTTTGTGGATTATAAAACCCTAATTGCTTACAAAGCCTTTAATAATAAAATTTCTACTTTCTACTCTATTTCTGTTCTCCTCTAATATCTTATGTATTTTAGCCTTTTCTTTTACTCTGTTCCTGTATGATCACACTGGCCAGTACACTGTCACATCCCTGATCCCCATTGCTGGCTAAGTCCAAAGATTCTTGAGATGCCACCTGAACAGCAGCTTCTAGAAGCTTCCTCTGACCCACATAATCTCGATATGATCCATGATCCTGTACTTTTCTGTTTCACAGGTGTTATTACTGTTAAGTGAATGCTCACTTGTCTACATCCCCACAAGACTGGCATCTCAGAATCCAGAAGTAGACCCTTAATAGAAAAGTGAAAAATAGATGGTGTATAGAAAGCATATTCGATACCTGTTGCAGTTTCAAGGGTTTTTCAACTGATGTCTCCTTCAGAGCCCTGGAACGCTTCTATCTAAATTACTTTCCCATTAAAATCTTTTCCCATGACAGAGTGTTCAGAGAAAGGAAAATAAGTCTTTATTGAATGTACCACAACATTCACAAGGATAAGTAAATTGCAGGTAGCAAAGATACTTAAAATATTTTATGACTAAATGGGAGTAACATTCCTTCTTGATTTAAGAACAGATTAAAAGTTTAAGTTTGTCTTGTAGTATGAGTCATTGTTTAAACTCCCTCCACCTTTACCAAGCAATGAAAACTGGAAGCTGACCATGTTTATAAAGAATAACTTCTGACAACGTAACAATTGTTAAAAGATAAGCTTGAATGACTACATATAAAATTCAAGTTCTTTCTGCACAAAAGCAGTTTCTACTTTTTAAAGTTTGTTTTATAACTGAAGCAGAAAAATGCCCTTGGATTGAGTGAATATTTATAGTCTTGAAATAATATATTAGCTAATAAGACCCAACACATCAAAACTGGGTCTTAAGTCTTCCAACCTCCTGGGGTTTCTGATACACACCAGCATAACTGCTGTGTATTGTTTAGTGAAAAATGGTCCCTTGGGCACATCTCCAGCAGTCAGGCTGGATTTCCAGTGCTCAAGGCCTCTTTCATTTCCAGATTACCAGATTACCAGGTCCTAAAACAATTTTCAAGATTTTGACAGGAGAACAGAGGTAGGTAGCCTGAGCCTTTTGGGATTTGTTATTCTCTATTTGTCTTGAGGGAACCTGCAAATAGACACAGATAATAAGGGCAGATTCCTCTGATTTGGAATGGAATTGTGTAGGTCTCCTGCTTGCCGGGATATGTTTCCAAACAAGACCACAACTAAGAGCATAGAACTGGAGAGCACTACCTTCAGGAGTGACTGTATTGACATGGGGAATGCAGCTGATCTGTGGAGTTCTCACACATGTCCAAGACCTCAAGGTTTTTTATTTATCCCACTCTGACTCCACATTTCACTTATTGAACTCAGATTATGACCTCAGCACTACTCTTTTTGGCGCAAAAAGGAAAAAAATTCAGTATGCTCACAGAAAATGGCAGATGTCCAACCCCCAGCAGAACATGTTCATCCAAAGCCCAGTGCTGCAATAAAATCCATCTGAATGCTCCTATCTCTTCTCTTAAAGTCTAACCTGACTACTTAGATGTTTGATCCTAGATGCCATTTTTATACTTCTAAAATTGTACACAAGTACATATGCCTTATGTCTTTACATGTCTCTTTAGAGCTACTAGATTTGATTTAATCTGTTCTTTTAAACAAGATACAGGTTTTTTGATGTAATCTACCAAAAATAGTGCCAAAGGAGGGAAAGCAAATGATGAGTCATTCAGTTATCTTCTGTGTTTAAATGACAGACAATGAACTTGGCAAGGAGTACTCATGAGTAAGAAAGGTATTTGGGTGGTGATTGCCCTCAAGGAGCAGAGAGGACATGACTATGATTAATTAAACACTATCATGCTCAGTGTAGTTTGGTACTACTGTTAATAAACAAAGTAGGTTTTCTATGTATAAAAAACCATTTTGTTGCCAATAGGCATAATTTGACTTCATCCCTCTTGGCATGTCTTTCATTACTTTCTTTTGGCAAATTGCTTTAACTATAATTGCTAGTACTATATTGAATAAGAGCTGTGATACCATTGTCGGGTTGTGGATTCTCCTTCTTTTCAGTCTGTTATTGTCTTTGGACTTAATATATAAAGACTTTATTGTGTTGAGATAAAATCATGTTGGTTTGTTGGGGTTTTTGGTTTTTCCAAGATGGGGTTTCTCTGTAGCTTTGGAGTATGTCCCGGAACTCACTCTGCAGACTAGCCTTGCCTTGAACTCACAGAGATACTCCTGTCTCTGCCTCCTGAGTGTGGGGACTAAAGATGTGCACCACCACTGCCCAGCTTGTTTGTTTGTTTTGTGAGACAAGGTTTCTCTGTGTAGTCCTGACTCTCCTGGAACTCTAGACACAGCTGAACTCTACCTCAGAGATTCACCTGCCTCCTGCCTCCTGAGTGCTGGGATTAAAAGCAGGTGCCACCACTGATATATATGCATTTCAGGGTTTATTTCAGATGTGTGGTCTATGAAGATGGGGTTCATTTACTTCTGTGTGTTTACGTCTATGAATGGGCTGTCTTCTCTATTGTCCAGTACTTGGGAGTCACATGCCTTAATCCCAGCACTAGGGAGGTAGAGACAGGAGTGATATGGATGGGCAGAGAAAGGAAATAAAGCAGAAGACAAGAAAGAGAGGAATTCTGAGCAGCAGTTAGTCTGAAACAGTCTGGACAATAAGTCTGAGGCAGTCAGTCGAGCATTTTCAGTTTGGGGATTCATAGGGACAGGATCACCCCTTTGGTGATGATCAGAAGAGGTAAGAGGTCTCTCTTGTGGTTGGCTGTTTTACTTTTCTGAACTTCTAGCTTTTACCCCAATATCTAACTCTGGGTTTTATTATTAAGACCTATTAGAACTTGTGCCATAATCAAGAGTTTTTAACTTTAACTTTCTACTTATACTTGTTATCTTACCATTGCTGAGTTTAATTTAAAACAAAATTTTGTGATTTCTTTTATATCTAGAACAAAGATATAAAGTAGGTAAAGTTTGCATTTGTTATTTAAATTTAATTTTTGTATTTGTTATTGAAAATTAATTATGGGTATTGTAGTAATACATTGTTTATGAGCTAATGAATCTTGCCTGAGGATCAAATGGAAAAACTAGCCATAGCCATAGAGATCATGCAGTGGTGATATACACCTTTAATCCCAGCAGTCACACTGGTTAGTCATAGAATTTGGGTGGTGGTGGTTTATGCCTTTAATCCAAGCAGTAGAGAGGTACATAAGACAGGAGCTCAGGGTCTCATGTGGCATTGAGTCTCCACCAAAACTGAGGACAGGATCACCCTAGCCTTGGTAGAAGTAAGAACTCTCTAGTGGTTGGCTGTTTTGCTTTTCTGATCTTCAGCTTTCCCCCTAATATCTGTCTTTTTATTATTCATACTACATATTTTTATTATTCATACTACATATTTTTATTATTCATACTACATATTGGCACCCAACGTGAAGGTATGACTGCACAAAAAAGCTGTTTGCCTGTAGCTTTGAAGCCACCATCCCAGGCTGCAACTACACACAGGGCTCCATGTGTAACCTTACAAGAATGGCCAAATTATGGAGGCTCTATAATAGCTAATTGGAGTCCTATACCAATGGTAGATTTAAGGAGATTGAAGGAAATGGTAGTCTCACAAAGCATGCATTCACCATTTATGAAGCAGATGTTAGATTTGGGGTTAGTTTGTAATATTTCTAGAGACTGGATAAACTTGATTAATGCTGTTTTAGAGCCTAGTATACAGTCACAATGGAGTACCTGGCTCAGAGAAGAGGCTAAGAAAATTGGACAATGGTATAAAGCTAGAGGAATGGAAATCTCCTAAGATTTCCCATTCTCTCAAATTCTCCCAGCTTCTTGGAGGAGATTATGCTGCCATAGAAAGGCAATCTCTTTATTATAACCATCCCCTGGCTTTATGCTGACAGCTGCTTTGAGAAGTAGGATAGAAAACAGTAATTTTTCAAAGTTATACAGTGACCAAAGGAAGACTTCACATTTGCTTTTTATTTTATTTTATATAACCAAATCCATTGAAATGAAAACAAAAATTTCTGAACAATATTTGGGAATTTGGATGTCGTTCTTTCCAAACTACTTCCTGCTGGTAAGGGACGCTGTCATGGGAGATTCTAAGACAATGCAGAAATCCTGGCTGTAGTCTGTTAGGCTGCTTTGTCCAGCTGTTTTGAATGTAGGATCACCTGGTACTCTGTTTCAGGTGGTCTGACTTGATCAAACCACATTAGTCTGGAAGGAATCCACATCTTTTCATTTTCTGTGGAAACAAAAATAGACAGCCTTTTCCCCAGTAACTTTTCCTTGAACTTAAATTTTGGAGTCAAAGCATTTTTTTTTTTAACTTTAATTTATTATTTTACATGTCGATCCCAATTCCCTCTCCCTCCCTCCCTTCCTCCTTCCCTCCTTCCCTCCCTTTTACCCTCTCTGCCCTCTCACATGCACTCTAACCACCCTTCCCTCACATCCCACCACCCCAATTCCATATGTAGGGGAATGCCATCCAGTTGGGGTCATGTAGATCTGACAGGTCATGTGAAGTAGGGACTAGGGCTTCTCTCCTGTCTCTAGATTAAGGCAGTTATCCCTCCATGGGGAATGTGTTCACAAAGTCCTTTTGTGCACCAGGGATACATCCTGGCTCCACAATCTGAGGTCCCTTAGACTGCTCAGTACTTCTAGCTGAGACCCATATTCAGGGGGGACTGAGTCAGTCCCATGCTGGCTTCCCAGCTATCAGTCTGGTGGCCCGTTTTAGCTCCTCCTTGTTCAGGTAAGCTGTCTCTATGTATTTCTGCCACCTGGTCTTGTCCTCTCAATCTGCATCTGGGTTCTAGTTCGACTCAGTGTTTATGTATGGGTGTTTGATCCTGTTTCCAACAGGCATTAGTTGAGGGCTCCATGGAGAAGTTAGTTGTTAATCTCATTCTCCAGGAAGGGCATTTATGGTAGCCTTTCCACGGAAGTTGAGATTGTTAGTTGGGAGCAGTCTTGTAGTTCTCTAGACCTTCCTTTGTGTTCAATTTTATCTTCAAACCAATATTGGCTCCCTCTTTTATGTTCTTCTCTCTCTCTCTCTCTCTCTCTCTCTCTCTCTCTCTCTCTCTCTGTCTCTCTCTCTGTCTGTCTGTCTCTCTTTCCTGTCTTCTATTCCTAACCAGGCTCAATCTTCCTGGTCGCACATATTTCTTACAAAGATGGGCATTAGCAATAAATAGAATGATACCAGATTCAGAAGCTAGAAAAAATAATTGAACCTCTGGCTTTTGAAAATGGTAATTCTCAATGCAAAAGGATAATTAGGTGTTTAAAGGCAAGGTCAGCACCTTTGGAGGAATGGACCCAAATACAGTCAACATCTGATCTCATGACTATGAGGTTTGGAAAAAAAAAAAAAAATGGAAATGTCAAGTGTTTTAATAGTGGCAAACAATGGCATTTTAAAAGGGACTCTAAATAGGGCATTCCTAGGAACAATGATTTTTCTAGGCATAATCCAAACAGAATACCCTTCCTTCTGTAGTATGCATAAGGTGTAGTGAAAGCAGTCATTGGACTAATGAATGTAGGTCAACAAGAGATATTCAAGGTAAGTCTTTGCTGTGAGGAAACTCCTTGGGGGGCATTTCACAGGCCCTCACGCCAAATTTGGTTAGTCATTTCCTGTCGTCATGGAGGAAACTCCTCAGAGCAATTAAAGAGCATAATGCTTATTATAATAAACCATACAGCTCTGGATGATAGAAGTGCTTTAGCAGATAAAACAAAATTTTCAGCAGAAACCATCAATTTTAAAGATTAGATTTTGAACCTCCTCAAAGTTAGGGATGGGAAGGGTTGTTTTTGTCTTTCCAGGAAAATAAAAACAACCATTTTGAAGAATTTAAGGGTGTATGGACAAGTACACATTCAACAAAGAAGGGAGAACTACCTGCAAAAATTTACCAACAAAAGAAATAATCTGATCTAATGCAATCTCTGAAGTCTCCAAAAAGAAAATGAAACCCCATTATGATTCCACCAGGACTACGATAACACCACTAAGCTGAAAAGCACCAACTAAAGATTTACTTTGGACTAGAAACTGCTCATAACTATTTAAAGGTAGCTAGCTGAGATGATTCAGATCACTCCAGCCAGGTCTTGAGACAAGTCCTTCACTTTCCCTTTATGCAAAGACTGGACAACAAATGATACAGCTACCTCTCCCCAGGACTTGATAATTAACCCAAATTTTTCTTTTCAGGATCCCCAAAGATGACATTACCCCCCAGACAGCAAGAAGTAAATTTAAGAACACGACACCAACATTCCCAAGAGGTGGAGTGGGTAGCTTTTGGTCGTTCAGTCATTCATTGGGTTATGGATATTTGTCTTTGTTTGAGGGAATTGGTTATAAGTTGTTATTGGCAATAGGAAAAAAGCTAAACAAAGGAGATTAGATTCAGTTTTCTCCATTTAAAGAAAAAAGAGGGATGTAGATCTGATAGGATAAAAGGGTAGATTATTGAATCTACTCTGAAAAGAAAAAGAGAGGATGTAGATATGATAAGATGAGACGCGAAAGTAAAATTTTAAAATCTTTTCAAAAATAACTACTAGTTTTAAATAATGTATATTGGATTGAACTTTGATACAAATTTGAGATTAATTTTATTAAAACATACTGTAAATATATTTATAATCTTATTCAAGGTGTTGTACCTATACAGCTCATTTAACAATGTAATGCAAAATTATAATCCTTAAAAGTTATTATGTACAAGTATATAGGGTAATAAAGAAATGAGGTTAGTAATTAATTACCTATTACAAAATTGTAGTCATATTAGGAATGATTTCAAGATAAAAAGATATAGTTTAGAAAGACAGGTCATCGTCAAACACTTCAGAGTTCTACAGAATATGGCATTTGAAATGTTTAGTAACATAGGTTTTCTTTGTTGTTTTTCTTTTTTTTTTTTTTTTTTTTTTTGTTTTTGTTTTTGTTTTTTATGACAATGAAACTTGTCTGCTCCTGGGAGAACCAATCTAATTCAGACATGATGGCCCTTGAAGAAACTCCACATGGAGATTTCTTTCTTTGGCAAAAGTAAGATGCTGAGCAAGAAGGTACCGTTGTCTCAACTGCTGACAGTATGCTGTTCAAATTGGACAAACAGGACATAAAAGAGATGACTGCTAAATCTTGCCAAGACAAGGTACGATAGTCCTTCAGAAAATCCAGCTTCACATAAAAGTCTGTCAGATATGCTAGGCCTATGGGCCAAAGATGAATGCTCCAACCTTGCAGAGGAACCTTGGGTGACTGTCCAGGCAGCCAACTGTTTCTGTTATTTCTCACATATTTTTGAAAGTCGCTTGCTTATATTTCCTATTTACTCAGTTAATGTTATTTCCTTCTTGGGTCGGTCTCTGAGGGATTAGAAGACTAGGTAGTTATAGGTTTCCGGACTAAGAAAAGAAACTCACTAAAGAAGTATAAAGTGTAAAAGGTTGAGAAACATTAAAAGATGATTTGATAATGCAAATTGGAATATAAAGTAAATTAGGTACAACATTTTGAACTCACCAAGACAGAATAGATAACTGAGTATTTTCTCTGAATTTGTCAAATGAAAATGGACTAGACATTATTGGTGTTCTTATAGCATGTATATATTGTATATAGGTATTCTGTTTATTGTACATAGTTTTTTTTTATTATAACCTTTTTTGTATTAAAAAAAGGGGAGAATTGTGGTGATATACTGTTTATGATCAAACAAAACTTGCTTGAAGATCAAATTGCAAAACTAGCCACAGGCATAGGGCCCAGACAGTGGTGGTACACACCTTTAATCACAGTAGCTACACTAGTTAGCCATAGAGAGTGAGTGGTGGTGGTGGTGCACAAGTTTAACACCAGTACTAGAGAGGTATATAAGACCTTAACCATGGTAACACTAATCCTAACCCTAACCCCAACCTTATCTTAAGCCCATGAGTTCAGGATCTCATGTGGCATTCAGTCTGATGACTAATAGAGACAGGATTGGATATTCATTATTCAATCTCAGTTTCAGTCTCTAGGCAAACTGAGGGCTAGAGAATTACCCCATGCTTGGTAGAGGTAACATCTACTGGCCAGCTGCTTTCCTTTTCTAATCTTCCGCTACCCCCCCCCCCAACCTCAATATCTGCCTCTTGGTTTTAACTATTCATACTACAGAGTTCAATTAGGAAAAATATATAGCAAGGCTCTGGAGACAAGAGGAGGGATACAAAGCAATTGAGAAACACTGGTCTAAATCAAGTTGAAAATACATAGAAGACAACAAAAACAGAAGTAGAAAGTAATGTGGGTGACAATAAGAAAATTAAACATTCCTTCCTTAAGTAATAGCAACTAAACAAAGGTTGTTAAGAACCTAGAGGGGAAGGTTCACATACACAACCCAGAAGACCAGCAGCACCTAAAACATCCACAAGTACCAGGTCCTATGCTTTCCTGATGGCCCTGGTGGTGATGAACTACTGGTCAACCTGCTCTCTAGGATGTGACCTGCCTCAGACTCATTACATCAGGAACAAGAGAGCCTTCACACTCCTAGCACAAATGAGGAGACTCTGCCTTCTCTCCTGCCTGAAGGACAGAAAGGAATTTGCATTCTCTCTGGAGAAGGTAGATGCCCAGCACATCCAGAAGGCTCAAGCCATCCCTGTCCTGCAGCAGCTGACCCAGCAGGTCCTCGTCCTCTTCAGCTCAAAGGACTCATCTGCTGCTTGGGAGACAGCCCTCCTAGACACCTTCTGCACTGGCCTCCACCAGCAGCTCAATGACCTGCAAGCCTGTCTGATGCAGCAGGTGGGGGAGCAGGAACCTCCCCTGAGCCAGGACGATTCCCTGGTGGCTGTGAGGAAATACTTCCACAGGATCACTGTCTACCTGAGAGAGAAGAACCACAGCCCCTGTGCCTGGGAGGTGGTCAGAGCAGAAGTCTGGAGAGCTCTGTCTTCCTCAGCCAACTTGCTGGCAAGATTGGGTGAGGAAAAGGAGTAAGTCCTGAGGCAAAGTGTAGAGGACTTTCCTAGAATACCACACTGCACCCCACTGCAATGATTCTGACATGTTACAAATTGTCATTATTTTAGCACAAACTCAATGAACCTTTCAAGGTGCTTCATTGGAAATGGGCAATACTGGGTCTACATGTAAAGACATTTGTTCTCCATATTTTCATACTTACTGATTGATTAAACTATTTATTTGACTTAAGTTCTTTTCAATTATAACATGACAGTGATATATATTTTTATTGAAGTGAATACATATGTAACCAAATTATTTTCTATGTTCTATAAATTATTTTAATGAATCTGACTTGCCTTTTTCATTTTTTTATAGCATTTCAAAAATTATGTTTTGATCTGACACTCTTCACTATAAAAATTACATGCATGAGCAGGGTGCAAATTATTGTTGTGTAACATTGCCTATTGTTTAGATGAGTAGATATGCCTTTCTCACACTTCTCATCCACTGACAATGAAACTGAAATCATTACATTTCTCCAGTGCAGAGTACTTTTCTGTATATATAACCAGCATTCTGAGCAGTAGTAAGCCAGAATGTCTTGCTCCTGTCCAATTGTGACTTAGTCTTCTTTGGCCAACTATACCCCAGACTTACTTGCCTCTAACTTATCTGACCTATTCCTATTGTTCTGTTCTCAAGTTCTGAGGTTTTAACTGAAAACAAATATCCTTCATGCAAACAACTAGAAATAAAATCAGTAACCTTCTAAAAGTCATGAAACCAAGAACACGGTTTCCCATAGGTAATGGAGAAGTAACACAATCCTGGAATCAGACTCTGCACACAAGTGCACATCAAGAAGGAGCCAGCACTGAGGGTATGGGTGATTGTCACAGGGTGAAGAACACTCCGTGCAAAGGGGGTGGGCAGAAAAGAGAGTGTTAACACTGTTCCTGATTTTGAGGGACCAAGAAAAAAAAAAAGCCTTGTGTCCTGCAGTAATTTGTAGCATAAGCTTCTTTGTTCCAAAAGGTCCTGCCCCCCTTCTCAGCTTCAAATCAAAAAAAAAAAAAAAAAAAAAAAAAAAAAGACTTACATTATTAAACTGTTGTCCAATGCCTGGGGCTTCTTATTGCCTAGCTCTGTCTAATTATTTACCTGTTTCTATAAATCTGTGTAAATGCATGTGGTATTGGCTTACCGGGTAATGCCCAGACCTGTGATTCTTTTGCAGCTGCATGGCATCACTTTCTGGCTGGCTCTCCCTGCCTACTTTTCCCAGAAATTCTCCTCACCTTCTAGTCCCATCTATCTTCCTGCCTCTATTGGCCAAACAGTATTTTAGTCATAAACCAATAAGGGAAATATATATACAGAAGAACTTCTGCCATCAGAAATTCATTCCTGAAAGGGAGAAATGTCAGAGAACCCCTTTGCCTGTAATGAGTCACCTATGGGAATAAATAAAAGCACCATCTGGTTTTCTATTATGATGAGACTTTGTGCTATGAAGCTCTGCCAAATCACTGTTAAGTTATAGAAGCCCAAGGGGCCATGGAAAATCACTTTCTACTTAAAGTAAGCTATGAAGCTAAGGCCTAAATATTGTCTTTTCAAGATAAATACATACACATCAAAGGAATTAATCTGAATTTATATGCATTTGTGTATATGTACGTGTGCAAACATGTTTGTGTGCATGGGTACAAAATTGTGTTCTTAAAATGGAGGATTGATAGACTTTCAGACAGAGACACAAGCTAGAGAAATCTGCAGTCATTAGATCATCCCTATTAATATGCTTAATGGATTGCTACATTTCTTTCACCTTCCTAAACATTTAAAATTTACAGGTTAGTTATGTCACTTATGTGGATCCACAGGAATGACAGAAAGTCAGGTACACAGACTTCCTGGATAAGGATTACATAACAGAGGCATCAGAAAGCTGTAGAGACAGAGCAGTTGAAAAACAAAGAAGTGTGAGCACAGACAATCCAACACCTGGGTCAATAGACACAGAGATGAGGGGGCTGTTTCCAATGTCTGTCAACAGTGTGTACCCAGAAAATAGTAGAAAGTGAACTTTTCAACAGCAGCCAATAAAATATTCCAGATATATACAGTTTGGAGGCAAATGGATGGTGACTCCAATATTCTCCTTCACAGAAGGTCTTTTTATACAATATAAAACAATGTAGTATTGTTTCCATTAATTAAATTAATTTATATATTATTTAAAGACTTTGAAGTTCTCAAACACACAGAAATAACTGTGCAGATCCCTAGCTGCTACAGATGTTGAGAAGCTAGAACTGCTTCTGTTATTATTTGATGCAAACATTGTTTATAGGGACTGAAACACTCTACTGTGTCCTGTGCATGAGGATAAACATCACATGCTGATGAAAGTGATTATAAATTTGTTATTATTTTAATAGTACTTGTGGCACAGCAGTTGAGGTTCTAAGCCTTTGAAATACAAAGTCCAGACACTTTACAGGTATGTTGTGGTTTGGATATAAAACACCTTTCAAGGTGTGCTGTATTGGAGGTTGGTATTCATGGGGCAGTGTTCTTAAGGAACAAAAGTCTTCATCTCATCCTCAAGGAACAAACTGTACCAATGCAAATCCATGGATGATTTCAGACGAGTGAATCACTAGATAGTGAGGCTTTGCTGGAGGAAGGTTAGGGGGCTCCATGCTAAGAACATACTTTGTCCCTGTCTGCTTTTTGGCCACCATGAAGTGAGTGACATTGCGAATCGCATGGTCTTCATACTATGCAATGGATCCCGAAATCCATGGAGTTAACATTCTAAAGTTGTGAAACAAAGTGAATGAAAATTGAACTTTGAGATCTTTAAATAGCATATTAACTCGTCTGTGTATGTGACTACACATGTGTATGTGTTTGAGTATGTGGGCCTTATGTCTGTGTTTCTCTCAGAGTGGTTATATCTTCTGAATGTGAGAGTTTTTGTGTGTTCATCTAAGAATGTATGTGTGTGAATGTGTATGTAAGGATATATGTGTGTGTGTCTATGTTTGGGAGTGTTATGTGTATATGTGGAATGTGTTTTGTGCATATTTGTGTTTATGAATGTGTGTGGGTATGTGGGAATTTGGGCATGTGTGTGAGTGTATGAGTGTGTGTGAATGTTTACGTTTGAATGATGGTGTGTGTATGTATTTGTATGGGTCGGAATGTGTTCATTGTTATGTGCCTGTGTGTTTAGGTGTATCTGTGTGTGGGGGGGTATTGAAAATTTGTCTTATGTGTGACTGTGTGAGTGTGAGTCAATGTGTAGGGGAGTGACTTTATGTCTGTATGAGTGTCAGTGTGTGTGTATTTGTGAGTGTGAGCATATGTGAAAGATATATGTGTGAGTGTGGATATCTCTGTGTGAGAGTGTGTGTGATGGTATGTGTGTATCTGTGTGACTGCTTCTATGTTTGTGAGCATATATATATGACAGTGTATGTCTGTGTGTATCCATGTTGATGAATAAGTGTGTACCTGTGTGAGTTTGTATGTGTATCATTATGTGTTAGTGCTGTGTGTGCATGCATGCATTGAGTGTGTGTGTATAGGCACAAGCTTGCTAAGTGTGTACATAGCGGTTGGACATATTCCAAGAGTTGGTTTCTCTATTTCAAGCATGGGTTCCAGAAATCAAATTCAGCTCACCAAGCTTGAGCAGCAAACCTTTATTAATCAAGTTCTTGTGATGGCATGACAATCTTTGGATAACTAAAGAAGATACATTGAAGACTCAATCAACATTTTGTATGAGCTAACAATAGAGTTAGTGAAGATAAACTGAAGAAAATAACAATAAAACATTTAAGATCTGGAAACATTTAAAGAATGTCATTGACATCAATAATTTTTTTCTCCTTTGGTTTTTCTAGACAGGGTGTCTTTGAGTGGCCCTGCTAGAACTCCCTCAGTAGACAAGGCTAGACTTGTCCTCAGAGATATGCCTGCCTGAGCCTCCCAAGTGCTGAGATTAAAGGAATGCATGAATGACCACCAACATGTGCATCAATATTCTAATTTAGAAACAAGTTGGGTCATAGCTTACTTTATGATTTAAACATATAAATTCATACATATAAAAAATTATGATAAAGTGAATTTCAATAACTTAAGTACAAATTTTACAGAAAATTGTGTATTTACACATAATGTATAAAATTCAACAAAGAAGGATCATATGGGGTGTAAGAGTTAATGACAATTCCATTTGCAAAATGAAAAAAAAATGTAAACCAGCTTTCTGAGGGCAGCAGTGAAAGAGGAAGCAAAGATGAAAACTAAAAACTTTTAGAAAAAATTCCTAGACACAAGGAGAGAATGAGTTAACCAAATTGAAAAGAAAATTAGAAAGTGAGGGGAGGGCATTCAGAAAATGGAAAGGAGTGTTTTCCCTATTTAAGAATGATGCTCATCCCATGGTATTCAGAGAACCTAAGGGCAAGGTTCAGAACCACAGAGCCCAGAGGATCAGCAAGAGCTGCAACATCCACAATGGCCAGACCCTGTGCTTTCCTGATGGCCCTGGTGGTGATGAACTACTGGTCAACCTGCTGTCTGGGATGTGACCTCCCTCAGACTCATGACCTCAAGAACAACAGAACCTGGGCATTGTTGGAAGAAATGAAGAGACCCTCCCTTGTCTCCTGCCTGAAGGACAGAAAGGACTTTGCATTCCCTCTGAAGAATGTAGATGCCCAGCACATCCAGAAGGCCCAAGCCTTCTCATTCCTGCAGCGGCTGACCCAGCAGGTCCTCACCCTCTTCACCTCAAAAGACTCATCCACTGCTTGGGAGAAAACCCTCCTAGAATCTTTCCGTGGTGAGCTCTATGGGCAGCTCCAAAAACTGCCAGCATGTCTGATGAATCAGGGGATTGGAGATTCACAAGAGACTGTGAAGAATTACTTCCACAGGATCACTGTGTACCTGGGAGAGAAGAAATACAGCCCCTGTGCCTGGGAGGTGGTCAGAGCAGAAGTCAGGAGAGCCCTGTTTTCCTTAAATACCTTGCTGTCAAGATTGGCTGAGGAGGAGTAAGCTCTGAGCAAAAATGGAGAGGACTTTCCTGAACTAGGACATTGTACCTCACTGCATAAATTTCCCTTTAAAACTATCATTTATTTTAATGTGAAATCAATCAACCTGTCTACATGTTTCAGGAAAAAAGAGCAGATTTTATCTATATGCAAAGGCATTTGTTTATGCATCCATTTGGCTTTATGTTTTGTGTGTGTATTTATCTTGTTATTTAATTTCAGTTATTTAAGTTAAATATTGCAGTTTTTATTTTCTTTAATGTAGGAAACCATCATATGCAATTAAAATATTTTGAATCCTATTCAATTTTTCTGTATAAAACACTTGTAATTTGTTAATTCTGTATCTTTTCAATTTTTTTGGTCTTTTTATTTTGATACTCTATAAAAAGTGTACAAAGGCACACGGTGTCAAAATTTGCAGAGCACACATGTGTAAACTGCATAGTATTCCATAAAATCCTAATGTGTTCCTCTACTCATCTCCACTATATAGTATTGTCTATACATATACCAAGATGCTGTCTTGTATAAAGTAGAGAATCTGGCTCCTGTCAGATTGTGGCTTAATCTTCGAGGAGACATATTCCCCAGAGTAACCCTTCCTCTGGCCTGCCTGAACTCTGCCACCTTTTCTCTACTTTCATCTTCTTTCAGTTTAAGAGTTTGGGGTTTTAAGTAGGAGTAACAGCATATAGAGTGATATCAAATAGATCACAGAAAACCGATTAGCAGGCCTGTATAACAAGGACAATATACCAGGAATATATCAGGAAATCAACACCATTCATATTAGCCTCTAGAAATATCTCTTGGAATAAATGCCACCAGGGAGGTGAAATCCTCTAAAAATTAACCCTTTGAAACACCACTATGCCCTCTCAACTTCAATGGGTTTTCTCCTCCTCGTGTTCCTACTCTTCCTCTTCCAACTTCTCTTCCTTCTTTTTTGGAGATTCTTGTTGTGCATAGACACAAGGCCATCTCCTGGAGCTTAGGTAGCCCCATTTAGGGACCCCAACCCTAATCTCTCTCTCTCAGCAGCCATCAGTTCCCACAGTTCTTCAGGCAGAGGTAGAACTTCTTTCATTTTCTAAGCTGGGCTATTGTCTGTTGCGGTCTGGTTCACTCAGTCACAGCTACTCTCAGTTCATCTGTGCATCTACCATGCTGTGTCCATGACTGATGCTTTTCTGTAGTCGTCCACTGCCTCTGCCTCTTTCAATTCTTCTGCTCCCTCTCCTGCAGTGATCCCAGCCCTTTATTTTCTGTTCATTGATTGGTTGTGGTCACTATGTTTATTGCCATCAACAGCAAAATTCTTCCATGTTAAAGGGTTATAATCCTGCAGTGATGCTCTCTAAGACATATAGCTGTAATTTGAACTCATGTATTGTGACACTACCAACATAACGCTACATTTATTCTTCAGTATCTTCAAGGTTTCATGTGTATTTTATAAGTGATAATTTTGGAATAATTCAAATTTTCATTTGATTTGTCTGTGAATAATTGTGCTGGGATTTTGATGGGGATTGCGCTGAATTTGTAGATTGCTTTTGGCAAGATTTTCCTTTTTACTGTGTTGACTATCCAAGAACATGGGAGATCTTTCCATTTTCTGATCTCTAATTTCTTTCTTAAAGACTCAAAGTTCGATTATATAGTTCTTTCCCTTGTTTAGTAAGTGTTATCACAGATATTTTTTGTTGTTTGTGGCTATTTCAAAGGGTGATGTTTTCTTATTTCTTTCTTGGTCCCTTTATCTTCTATAAATAGTAGGGCCATCGATATTTTGAGTTTATCTTCTAAACTGCCACTTTGCTGAAGGAGTTTATCAGCTGTAGCCATTCCCTGGTAGAGTTTTTCAGGACATATATGTAAACTATCACATCATCTGCAGATAGTCAAAGTTTAAATTCTTCCTTTCTGATTTGTATCCCTTTGATCTACTTTTGTTTTCTTATTGCTCTAGCTAGTATCTCAAGTACAATATTGAAGAGTGGACAGCCTTGTCTTGTTCCTGATTTTAGAGGAATTGCATACAGTTTTTGTCCATTCAGTTTTAAGTTGGCTGTGGGTTTGCTGTATATTGATTTTATTATGTTTATGTATGTGCCTGTTACCCCTGTTGTCTCCAAGACCATTATCAGGAAAGGGTGTTGGATTTTGTTAAAGGCTTTTTGGGCATCGATTGAGATGTCTGTGTGGTTTTCTATTTTTAGTTTGGTTATATAGTAGATTACATTGATGGGTTTTCATATGGTGAGCCATTCCTTCATCCCTTGAATGAAGCCTGCTTGGTCATGGTGGATGATTTCTCTGATGTGTGCTTTGATTCCTTATGCCACTATTTTATTGAGTATTTTTGCATCAATGGTCATGAGGGATATTGGTCTGTAGTACTCTTTCTTCGTTGTGTCTTTGTGTGGCTTGGGTACCATGGTAATAGTTGCTTCCTAAAAAGAGTTTTGCAATGAAGCTTATGATTCTATTCTATGGAACACCTTGAGGAATATTGGTAATAGCTGTCTGACTTTCTAGTACTATTCTACACTGAAAACATCTGGCCCTGGGCTTTTTTTGGTTGGGAGACATTTGATGATTTCTTAAATTTCATTAGGGTTTATAAGTCTATTTAAATTTCTTGTTTGGTATTGATTTAGGTTTGGATGAGGGTGTGTAGAAGACTGCAGATAGATCCATGTCTGTCGCCATGCACAAAACTCAAGTCCAAATGGATCAAAGACCTCAACATCAATCCAGCCACATTGAACCTCTTAGAAGAGAAAGTAGGAGGTACCCTTGAACAAATAGGTATACGGGACTGCTTCCTGAACATAACTCCAGGGGCACAGACACTGAGAGAACAATTAATAAATGGGACCTCTTCAAACGTAGAAGCTTCTGTAAGGCAAAGGACACAGTGGACAAAACCAAACGGCAGCCCACAGACTGGGAAAAGATTTTCACCAATCCTATATCCGACAAAGGGCTGATCTCCAAAATATACAAAGAACTAAAGAAACTAGTCAACAAAACACCAAATAACCCTATTTAAAAAATGGGGTAGAGAACTGAAGAAAGAATTCTCAATAGAGGAAATCAAAAAGGCTGAAAGACCCTTAAGAAAATGTTCCACATCCTTAGCTATCAGGGAAATGCAAATGAAAACAACTTTGAGATACCATCTTACCCCTGCCAGAATGGCTAAAATTAGAAACACCAATGATGACTTATGTTGGAGAGGATGTGGAGAATGGGAACACTCCTCCACTGCTGGTGGGAGTGCAAACTCTTACAACCATTTTGAAGATCAGTATGGCGGTTCCTCAGAAAAATGGGAATTAGTTTACCACAGGACCCAGCAATCCCCCTCTTAGGCATATACCCAAAGGATTCACATCCATGCAACAAAGACATCTGTTCAACTATGTTCATAGCAGCACTATTTGTAATAGCAAGAACCTGGAAGCAACCTAGATGCCCCTCAATTGAAGAATGGTTAATGAAGATGTGGCACATCTACACAATGGAATACTACTCTGCAGAAAAAAATAATGGTATCTTGAAATTCGCAGGCAAGTGGATGGCACTTGAAGAAACCATCCTGAATGAGGTAACCCAGTCACAAAAAAGGAACACAGTATGTACTCACTCATATATGGATTTTAGACCTAAATCAAAGGATCACCAGCCTATAATTCACACCACCAGAGGAACTAGGATACAAGGTGTATTCTAAGAGATTCATATAAAGTCCCTCACAGAACTGGGAAGGGACAAGTCCCCCAGAGCTCAGGGGAAGTGGGGGGGGGACAGCAAATGGAGAGAGAAGTAGGAGAAAACGAGGGGGAGGAAAGGAAAACATGTGCGACCAGGAAGATTGAGCCTGGTTAGGAATAGAAGACAGGAGAGAGAGAGAGAGAGAGAGAGAGAGAGAGAGAGAGAGAGAGAGAGAGAGAGAGAGAGAGAGAACATAAAAGAGGGAGCCAATATTGGTTTGACGATAAAATTGAACACGAAGAAAGGTCTAGAGAACTACAAGACTGCTCCCAACTAACAATTTGAGCTTCCTTGGAAAGGCTATCATAAATGCCTTTCCTGGAGAGTGAGATCAACAACTAACTTATATATGGAGTCCTCAACTAATGCTTGTTGGAAACAGGATCAAACACCCATACATAAACACTGAGTCGAACTAGAACCCAGATGCAGATGGAGAGGACAAGACCATGAGGCAGAAACACATACAGATAGCTTACCTGAACAAAGAGGAGCTAATGGCCACTAGACTGATAGCTGGGAAGCCAGCATGGGACTGACTCAGGCCCCCCTGAATATGGGTCTCAGCTAGAAGTACTGAGCAGTCTAAGGGACCTCAGACTGTGGAGCCAGGATGTATCCCTGGTGCACAAAAGGACTTTGGGAACACATCCCCAATGGAGGGATAACTGCCTTAATCTAGAGACAGGAGAGAAGCCCTAGTCTCTACTTCACATGACCTGTCAGATCTACATGACCCCAACTGGATGGCAATCCCCTACATATGGAATTGGGGTGGTGGGATGTGAGGGGAGGGTGGTTAGGGTGCATGTGAGAGGGCAGAGAGGGTAAAATGGAGGGAAGGAAGGAGAGGGAAGGAGGTGAGGAGGGAGGGGAGGAGGGAGGGAGGGAGGGAGGGAGAGGGAACTGGGATCAACATGTAAAATAATAAATTAAATTTAAAAAATGCTTTGACTCCAAAATTTAAGTTGAAGGACAAGATACTGGGGAAAAGGATTTCTATTTTTGTTTCCACAGAAAATGAAAAGATGTGCATTCCTTCCAGACTAATGTGGTTTGATCACACCAGACCGCCTGAAACAGAGTACCAGGTGATCCTACATTCAAAACAGCTGGACAAAGCAGCCCTATAGACTACAGCCAGGATATCTGAATCTTCTTCGAATCCCCCATGACAGTGCCCCTTACCAGCAGGAAGTATTTTGGAAAGAACAA